AAAAATGGCCAATTTATAACTCTCCTACTCCATTCCATCTCAGTCCACCCTCCCCCATCCCCTTCCCCTCTTTCTTCAGCTCTCCCAATATACCCTAGTCTTGTAAACGAGTAGACTTTTATCCACCCAACATGCCGACAGTGGACATTGATCCACTTACCCGGGCGATGCAGCCGCCCAAGAACGAAACGCCAGAGGAGAAGGCAATTCGACTGCAGGCCGAGGCTGAAGCCACCAGAATCAGTCAGCTCATCGACGCACAAATAAAGACAGAACGCGCTCAGCTCAAGAAAGAGTCGGAGAACACGCACAAGATACTATTGCTCGGTGAGTTTAGTGACGCAGGTTCAAGCGAGCTCACGGCCACGCCAAGCTAACGTACCCTCGCCATCGTTCATTTTGGCATATTGGACTTGAGCGCCACTTCAGTACCCAGTCTTCGCAACGCGTTTCCGAACCCCACTGTGACGCAAAACCTTGCATATGTTCCCTCGGTAACCAATCAAGTCGACGGGGAGACGCCAAGTAAAGCCGATTCGACACCAGGACCCGAACTGTCAGAAGAAGCTGCGTATGTACTCAGGGCGGCGGCAATTGATGCTTGTGAAATGATCGTGCGACGGGCGAGGGGGCTAAATGTGGACAACAGTGGTGGTGAAGAATGGATTAGAGAGCTGAATTTGCCAGAGCTGGACGGGTGGTTGTGGTCTGTCGCTAAAGCGGGTGCCTTCCGTGACAGACTAAGCCGCTTTCGCCAAGTGGGAGTCCCATGTGTAATGTACTGATTAACGTGCATAAGCGAACCCGATAGATTGGGTGCGAAGTTGACAAACTGCTGATAACCTCTGAAGAACAGTCGGCGGCGGATAGATAGTTAAGAGAGAGACGAACCCAGCCAATAGCCCGCGCCGTTTCATTTATTGATGCCCAAACGATGCGCGTCTCTCGGACTGCAGGGTAGTGCTCAGCATGGCAGCATGATCACTGGGATATGCGCGCGCGCAGAGGATTGATAAAAAAGATTTCTCCTTAGGGTTCTGAAGTCGTCAGTTGCCGTGGAGTGCGTTTTGAGCCTTGACGGAGATCAATTCAAGGGTACGAGATGTCAAGATGCAGAAGAAGGAACGAGGGAGAAGGTTTTGCTTTGTTCGTACCTCGAAAAGAATCGTTCAGGGTTCAGCGGGTCTGATGCCAACTTACCGATGTCGTCGTTCATCTAAATTATTCCATCTTGGACAGCGCCAGTGCACAATTGTGAATGAAAAATGGCCAATTTATAACTCTCCTACTCCATTCCATCTCAGTCCACCCTCCCCCATCCCCTTCCCCTCTTTCTTC